GAGTCCTGCAGGGGACAGGGGACAGACGAGCACAATCACACTTCCATTCTTGGGTTTCCATGGGTGTTTGGTCAGAAGTCAGCAAAACTATGACTTGCTCAGAAAACAGAATGATTAGGCTCTTTGGGAGACCCCAAAAGCCCAATCGCTCTGCAAAGCCGGGGCCTGGTACCTGCAAGTGAAGCCTAATCTTTTTGGGAGCCCCTGGGGAGGAAAAGGGTTGTATGAAGTGGTTCTGAAAGGAGGAAGGACCTGAGAATTTCAAAGAACCTCTGTCTTTTCCTTCCTGTCTCTACCCTTCTTTCGGAGCCCCGGAGGGGAGCATTCCAGCTTCTTAAAATTCTGCTGAAGAGGGCCAGCACCAACATGTCACTCAAGGCCCAGGCCCATTTCATGATCTGGGTGGGCATGGGTGAGAATAACATTTCCACAGAACTGATTGATGAAGGACATGGGTACAAGTTTAACGTAGGTGGGGCTGATCTGAAGGAAGGTCGTGAGAAGAAAACCTTTCTTGTCTTTCTCCGACTTTGTTTTCATTTGAAGGGAGCAGGATTAAGTTCTCAGGTCTTGGAGTCACATGGCTGGAGTCTGCAGCCTGGAGGAGACCACCTGGCCATCTGGTCTTACCCGTTTGGGCGCCTACTTACTCACCCCGTCATTCCTCTGCTAGCAATGAGTTTCCTAAACAGGGCATGGCCAGATTCCTACCTTGTGCAACTTCTGCTGTAGCTGGAGAAGGAGCATTTGAGCCTCCTTGGTGTTCATGAAATGAGTTCTGATACGTTAGAATAACGTCCGTCACATAGTATGTTTTGTATGGCAGCATCCTTTCCCCCTCTTCAGTGGGGGGGTTGGTTGGCTATGGAGATTTGCCCACACTGCCACAACTCCTGGCAGCCCCCATGTTCATAGAGTGTGGGAATAGGGTACGGGCCGATGTCCGACGGTCAGCACCACAGTGGGCCATAAAGCAGCAGCAAAGGGAGCAGCCAGCTCAGATAGGGCGCAGGAGATGAAAGCCAGCCGTGTTTTCCTTTCTAAAGTGCCGCCGTGTTCCTGAAGGCCTGCCGCTTCCTCTGCCCTGCTGGTTTTTTTTTTTTCCCCTTCCCAGTTCCTCTCAGTGATATCTTAAGAGGCAAACTTCCAGCACTAACAGGAGGTCCTTTGTTCTCCTTTTCTCAAAGTGGACTTTAACCCAGTTACTACAGACTGAGTCACTGTAAAAACAAACAAACAATAATAATACTCCATTTTCTTAAAGGCTCTTCCATGCCTGCTGACAGAAAAGGGGAACCTGACGCCCTGGGCCTGTGGGGCGCCTCCCTGCCTCTGCCTTCTGGAGGCACAGCCCACGAGAACCTTCCAGAACACACTGGAACCCAGCACCGTGGAACTCTTCAGCTAGGCTCTGGCTCGTTAAGAATTTCATCTGACTTGGAGGGGCCCGTGGACTCTGAGGAATTTGGGTCTCAACATAGTCTGGTGGGATTTACCATAGACAGAGGAATGGTTGTTGCACTCCTGGATCTGCCACACTCTAAATTTGAGACTTGTGTCCCTTCTCCACCCTTTAGTTACGTTATATGTATGTGGATCAGGGTATTAGACACTCCGTGATTTTATCAGAAAGGACTTTACAATGGTAATATCTTCCTACTCTGTAAAGGATGGGGGGGCAAACTGAGCATGCGAGTGCGGCCTGAATCCATTTACTAAACGTTTCACCAGGCACTTAGTTAGGCACTGGGGTGACAGAGATGAGAAAGGCCCTCTTCCTGCCTTCGGGGAGACAGACCTGCACATAAATGAGCATGGTGATTTCCCATACAAGTAACATGGACGTGCGCTAAGGGTGTGGGTACAGCAAGAAGAGGGTGGCCATCTGGCTGGGGAGCGCTGGAAATGTCCTCTTGGAGGAGATTGCGTTTGAGCTGAGTCTTGAACCATGAGTAGATGTTCATGTCTAGGGCAGATTGAGGGAGAGGGGGCATAACCGAGGGATGAAGGCCATGGTAAGCTGGGACCTGCCATTGTGCAAGCCCTCCCAGGCGTTTTTGCCTCCATGCTTGGGTAAGAGCTGGACCTTCAATTTCCTTAGGAGGAGCAGACCCCGATGAACATGCTACTGGCTTCAGGACTCCGGTCCCAGATGTTAATGACATCAGACATTAAGATCTGCTTTGGGCCACGACCCTCTGGACTCATGCCAAAGAGCATAGCCATGGCTCCGAATGGGTGCCGTTGCTTGTGTTCTCCAATAAGTTGTCACCTACTGTGTTCCTGACTCATTGGAGCGCAAATGCACAGTGCAACAATTCATGTCTGCAATGGAAAACCAGTTCAGTTGCCTGGAAAATGCCTACTCACCTCCAACCCCCACTTACAAGTCTCCTTAACTGCGAAGTATCCCCAGAAGCTGTGGGCAGAGTTAGCAGCACTCCCCCCTTGTGCTCCTGTGGCTCGTTCTTCTAACCTTGACTCAGGCTCTAACTGTCATGTCACCTGTGATTTCTCCTTTTCCCTGGGTACGCCGCCTCCTAGCTGAGTTCCTGGATAGGGAATGACACCTAACACATTTCTAAATTCTTGGTCTTAAGCATGGTATTTGGTTCATGGACATACAAGGTGTCCAGTAGACATCTGTTAAATGGACACATAAATGAATGAATGAATGAGGTTTGAGTCTGTGTACTGTGCTTGGTTTGACCATGATATCAACAGGAGGCTTTGCTTCATCATCAATAATAAAATGGTAAGGCTTAGCTTAAGGAATTCTTACTGATACCACCTCTTTATGTAGAAGTAGATTTCTCTTCTTGGAAGCCACTTGTACTTGAGAATTTAGATTTAAAGTCAGACCGAGACCGCCTGGGTCTCTAGGACACTCATCAATTTTTCTAAGCTAGTCCCCACTTTAGCAAATCCCAGGAGTGAAAGCAGAAGGATCTTCATTTACTCTGTTAGGTTTGTGCCCCCGAGATACAGTCCTTTCCATTTCAGCATCAATCATTTGAAAAGTAAACACCTCGCCTTCTTGTGACCTGGCAAGAATAGGGTAGACTTCTCTCCATCAGGGTCAATTTACATCTGTGTCCTTTTTTTTTTTTTTTTTTTTTTTTTAACTTTTAGGTTTGGAGGGTACATGTGAAGGTCTGTTACATAAGCAAACTTGTGTTACAGGAGTTTGCTGAACAGATTATTTCATCACCCAGGTATTAAGCCCAGTACCAAATAGTTATCTTTTCTGCTCTTTTTGCTCTTCCTCTCCCTCCTCCCACCGTCCACCCCTGAGTAGATCCCAGTGTTTGATGTTTCCTTCTTTGTATTTATAAGTTCCTATCATTTAACTCCCACTTATAAGTGAGAACATGTGGTATTTGGTATTCTGTTCTTGAGTTAGTTTTGTAAGGATAATGGCCTTTGGCTCCATCCATGTTCCTGCAAGAAACATGATCTTGCTCTTTTTTATGGCTGCATAGTATTCCACAGTGTATGAAGTCTTATCAAAGACAGGGGCAGTGGGAGTCTCATTTCATAGGGAAAATGTTCCTTGGCTGGTCCTTCCTTCCCAACTCTTCATTCTGTCATCCTCAATGTCCCCTAACAACCAGGAGTGGATGACAGTAAACAATTTCAGTGTTGGGACTGAGTTGGCCACGCCCCGCTGGGTATGGTTCCCCAGACAATGCACAGCTCCTGGCCTAGCCTCAGCTCATTTTTCTGCTGTGGAAGAGCACAGGCCCCATCCTCAGATTGCCTCTTCCAGATTATAGCTTTAAGAGGAGTAAAAAATTCCAGGAACAGGCTTCATCTCAATGGCAGTAGTTGGTTAATTTCTTCTGAGAAAATGGAAACCTTGGTCTCCTGATGTGTGCAATGACAGGCACAAGAGGAATTTTCCAATACAAGATGGGAATGAATTTTCTAAGGACAGCCTGGCCGAGAATAGCCGCCATCTGACCATGAACCAGAATTGGGTAATGTGGCACCCTTGGAGCAGCAGAGGTGACCGGCTGGAACAGTCAGCCAGGAGGACAGCTGCACTCCCCACCACCTTCTGGGTGTGTTGCCAAGGTCTGCCACTGACCGGATTAGTGACTTCAGGACAGCTGGAACATTCGCAGTTTCCTAATGGTGGGAAGAGACATATCTTGATTCTACTTCTGTAGGAGGTGGTAATGAGGAGTAGCTGAAAGCTAGATGGGTTCTTTAAAACCTGTGGCAGAAATGGCACACACCAGGATTATCTGTTGTGTCGGAGCTTTTACAGCAGCCCAGCTGTTTCCTTCTATGAACTCATTTATTACTCCCTTGGTCCACTCATTGGGCCCTACTCTACAGGGAACACGGTCCTATGACCCAGAAAAACAAAGCTGAATTGTCTTAGTCTCTTAGTTTTGTTCTTCCCAATTCCCTTCATGGGGCCATTGTTCTCCCTAGCCCCTTTCTTTCTCATCCCATTTTCAAAACTCTGAGCTTAGGATAGTGTGAAAAGGCCTAGGAGAAGGGACGAATCGCCCCCGTGGTTGAAAACCCACTGAACAGCTGTCAAAGTTTATAATTGTCCTCCAGGAACCCCTGGAAACCTTCTAGGACCCCTTGGAGATGCTCATTACCGATTGGTAAAAAAAGTTTTGGTATGATGGATTCTCAGTGCCAGGTAGAAACGAAACCTTTCCGATGCTGTTACTGTTGGTGAGAAATTCACCCTGGTGGTGACATTTAGGATATCAGATACTCTATGCCTCTTGCCCCATAAGTATCTGTTGTGGAAAGGGCTGAAGAATTTGAATCTCCAAAATAAAATGGAGAATAGACATGGGATAAGAAACAGGAAACACAGCTGCTGGTCTCTCAGATCATCTTTTTTTCTTAATGTATTTTTTCCCCTGATTTTGGAAAATGCATGTTGACGACAGGAAACTTGAAAAAAAAAAAAAAAAGATGATTCCACAAAAGAAATAAAAGTCCAGTATAATCTTATTGCCCAGAGATAGCACTGTTGACATTTTGATACATATTTTTCCAGTTAAAATGTACATAATACTTTTTTTCTTACAGAACTGCTACATTGTATGCATATTGCTTTATAATCTGTTTTTTCTCTTTAATGATGTGGTGTGATCATTTTCCCATGAGACTAAACCTTCTCCTGACACATAATTTTAATCACTACCTAGTATTCCATCATATAGATGTTAATTTAACTAATACCATATGGTTGAACATTTAGGTCGTGTCCATTTTTGCTACTATAAATAGCACGATGCAGACACTGGGGAGACTGACTCAGCCTGCTCCCTTGTTCTGGTCATAAGTCACTTAGTCCTTCCTTAATAGTCATTGGCCATTTGATGGGCCAGATAAACTTCACAAGCCTTGCTCTGAACACAAGGACAAATTTAATCTATTCGAGCCAGGAGTGGCTTTGGATGTTCCTTTAATTCCGCAGAAACACTGTTGTAAAAAGACAGTTATACTCAATTCATTTATTCATTGATGCCTCATTTCAGACAAAACAGGCTCCCTTGACTGATTTCCCTTTGGCCCTGGCCATCTTTTCTACAAGAGAGGCAAGCTTATTGTAACAGCAAAGGAAGCGAAACGTCTTTAGCATGGTAAACCTGTAGAAGCAACTGGAAACATGTCTTCTAGGGTGAATCATTTTAAAATCATCTTCCATGTTCAGGATTTTCCATGTAAATGTTCTGCTCCATTGGAGCAGATGATTGGGAGGGGAAGAGAATAAAAGTCCCAGCGCTCCTAGTATACTGAGGTGTTTACCGAAACGCTGTGGTTCGTCTAGGCAAAGGGGAAGGCATCGGCTCAGATGCGCTGAGCAAGTACTCAGCGGAGAAACGGGGGCAAAATCTAGGCTGCTGGGTCCTAGTTTGTCTCAGCCTCAAGAAACTCAAGCTGCTACAGAGGGTGTGTTGGGGGGTGCCTTAGTTCACCTCCTGTTTCGGCATCCCTGGTCCTTTAGCCCAGCAGCAAGCCAGGGAGAAAATGTACTCCACCGTGGAGGGGCACGGGCCCTGTGCCTGGGACATCTGGTCTGGGGAGGGGCATCTGAGCAGGTCATCTGTCACTTCATTGCCCCCTTTCTCATTCTTGTAGCCGTATACACATCTCCAGCAGTCACTGGATGAGACTGCTAAGGACAACATTCTCATTGGACTGCCAGAATCTTATGCCTGTGACCCGAGTGCTTTGGGAGGCTGAGGTGGGTGGATTGCTTGAGGCCAGGAGTTTGAGATCAGCCTGGGCAAAGTCATGAGACCCCACCTCTACAAAAAATTTAAAAATTAGCTGGGCATGGTGGCACACCTGGAGTCCTAGCTGCTCCGAAAGCTGAGGTGGGGGGATTGCTGGAGCCCAGGAGTCCAGCCAGTTCAGCTTGGGTGATAGAGCAAGATGTCTCTACAGGAGAAAAAAAAGAAAGAAAGGGGTATGGCGTAGGAATGTGCATAATGGTAGACATGTGCAAAAAAGTATGGGTGGGGAACAAATACTCATGTGCGCACACACAGACTCTCTTGCTCTCTCTTTTCCTTTCTCTCTCTCTCTCCCCGACCGCCTCACTCACTCATAGTTTAATGGGGTTTCTGGGAGAGGAAACTGCCGTCTTAAATGTGTATGAAAAGTCCTGCAACAAGCTCTCAAAAGCCCGTGGGGGTGGGGAGCAGGAGGAATCACAAGATTGCCCTTAGGCAAACATTTCTGTCCCACCTCTCTTTTCAGCTGCGCTAATGTGTCATCAGACACCCCTGCCCAGCCTGACAGGCCCACATACACAAACCAAGTGCCCCCGTGAGCCTTTCCTTTCCCAAGCCGCTGAGGGGTCTTCTGGGAGTTGGAAAGGATTCTTTCTGAGCTGCTCCGGCTCTGGCTGATGAGCTCAGCTGTCTCCTCTTCTAGGAAAGATTTACTGCAGCAGAGCACGGCTGCCTTCCAGCCCCTCCCCAGTCATCTTTCTTCCAAGCCAGAGACTGAGGCTGGGGAAGCTGACAGACGGAATGCTGGGAAGAGATCAATATTTCTTCCTTGGGTGGTTGAGGAGCTGCACAGACAGGGAGAGCCTCTCTTCATGCCCATAATGAGACAATAGTGGCATCACTATAAATGCCAGCTCTGATACATTCTCCACTTCTAGCCAGCCCAGGTGCCAGGCACCTGCATCTTGGCCTCTGGAAACTAAGAAGGAAGGGCCCCATGCCCATTTGCCAACCTTTTATACTAATGATGTGAATTCCCTCTTGTCCCATTGGATTTCGTCTCTCCCTCCCCATCAAACCTATAGAGACAGGCCCTAATCGGCTACTACTACTATTTTCTTCTCTCTGCCACGAGGGCAACTTGGCCCCTAGCTGCAGCTTCTGCCCCCTCAGCATCAAAGGGCCCAGTGATCATCAGCTGGTGAGAGCTAGAGAGCCCTCTGTAGGCCCAGCCCTGTTCCAAGGGCCTCTCACGTATTAACTCATTTAGTCCTTAGAACAATTCCACGAAGTGAACAGTTACTATCCCAGTTTTCTAGATGAGATTCCTGAAACCCAGAGAGGTTCATTAACTTGCCCAAGGTCCCACAGCTAAAGAATAGAAAATCTGAACTTAACAGCATAGCTCTGAAGTCCTGCCCTCAAGGCTATGCTGTGGATGGGAATAAAATGGTTCCAGTTCTGCCAGCCCTTGCTGCTGGCCCAGTTCTGACCTGGGGCCTCAGTCTGACCACAGGACTCTGTCTTGCTTCTGTGCCTAGATTCCTTCTCTAGAGACCTGGTGTGTTCCTCTTTCTAGGATACCCTAGGATGCAGGATTCCTACCATCCCTCGTTTCAAGTTCTGGAATCCCACCTTGAGTCCATTCTGATAGCCATGGCTATGGACCTTGCTGATAGAGCGTAGACAATAAGAATGACATCTCACTCAGTCCTGTATCCCACGCAGAGCCGAGAGCATGGTACCCTGCACACCCACAGGAGCTGTTCAAATCACCTTTGCTGAAGGAAATCAATGCCAAAATGCTCTGGGCTTCAGTTTCCCTATCTATACAATGAGGCAATAAGAATAAATCCAGAGTTTTGTGAGAATGGATTAAGTGAATCTGTGTTTATCATGTGGCCAGTGAACAGTGAGGGTTGGCGGTTACCATTATTGATGTAGCGGTCACTTTCATTATTTATGGGCAGAAGAACTTTGAGCTCTAGGATTCTAATCCTGGCCCCGCCACTTCTCAGATCTATGATGTTTGGCAATTGAACCAACTTTTTTCCCATGCATGTTTTCCCATTTGAAAAGTTGCATAGTGATACTTGTACCTCACAGAGATTTTGAGAATTATGAGATAGTATGTGTGACGTAGGGTGCCTGGCACAGAAAAAGATCTCAACAAATGATAGCAAAAGTTACTAGTATTATGATTGTTATCTTAAAACCAGGGTGCATATGCTTACAACATTTGGGGCTACTCAGTATTCCCATGACAGACTCCTCTCTTTGATACACACACACACACACACACACACACACACACACACACACACACATATCATTATATACACCTTTGCACTTCCCTGCTCACATTTATGGTGCAAGTAAGACACCCGGGGTTTAGCCATTCCCCATCAGCCCATGAAAGCAGGCCTCTTGCTGCAGGGGAGGAGGTTTAGGAGCTTGTATCCATGGAAAGCATCCATTCTCTCCCTTCTGATACTGAGGGGACACAATATCACAGCCATCAGGAAGGAATGGCTTCACCAGATCCTTCAGGGACTAGGACCATCAGAGGACAGGGAGTGCGAGCTTCTCTTTGACCACCTGGAAGCCACCTGCCTCCTGAGCATGCCCAGCTCCACACAGTCCTAGGTGGTGAGGCAGTTTCCCAGCTCTCCATTCCTCCAGCAGGATCCAGAAGTGAAAGGAGAGAAGAGGAGTGACAGCAGGACTGTGTGGCCCATCCAGGCTGGCCAATCACTTCCACATCCCAGGGGCTCAGGACTGCAAGTCCAGCGGCTGCTCCAGATCCCTAGAGATCTCTCCAGGCCTGCCAGAGCACCACATGGTAGCAGGACCCCACCACTCCTTAGCAACGGGGTGAGAGATCCTTGTTGCAGCTGGTTGTGGGGAACCTTTCATTTTCACTGACTTAAATGAAAAGAAGCAACTCCCCCACCCGACCCGCCACACACACACACAGGGGCCCTGGCTCTGGCAAGGTGCAAATGCCCAGGGAAGAAGACATCAGACACACAGGGCTCCTCAAGTTGATTTCATTTTAATCATTGGAAGGATATCAATTTATTATATCATCATATGGTTGTTTCTTGAGAAACATCCAGAGCATCCATGTTGGGGGTGTATATTCAGAGGGATTTATTTACAGATGGAAAAGCCAGTGAGGTGGCTCCCCTCTTTGTCTTTATTAACGAACATGTGACAAGTATAGCAAACAAGAGGTGTCCTCATGTCTCTAGCATGGCTGTTGTTCAGCGTGTCCAGCGTCCCTGGCAGAACTCGGCATGGAGGACATCATTCTTCTTGCTCCTACTTCTGGGACTTCTTCCAGCTTCCATTTCCCACTGTCCTTGTGTGTGTCACTATGCCACTGGGGACCCAACTCACTCTGCTGTTGCTGTCTTCTCCAGCCAGCCTCCCTTAGCCCACTATGGGAAAGATGCTCCACCTCAGCCACCCAAAACCTGAACTAAGAAGAACCGGAGTTTTGTTTAAATAGGAAGAGGCAAGAGACCGGTCACTGGTGAAACTCACAAGGCCAAACCATCATAATGAATCTGAGCTGGGTGGGGAGTGGGGGAAACTTGGCTGCCTGACCCATCTCAGGTAGGGGCAGTCGCCTAGTGAGAACTTCATGGGGCCATCTAGAAAGGCCTCTCCAGGGTGAGGGTATTGAAGAGGGACATTCTAGAGATGCCACTCTGCCCCGCCACTCATGGTCAGCATTGGGAGGATGATGGGCAGATAGAGTAGTGGACAGTTGGCTGAATTATGAAAATGCCATAAGAGGCGAGTCAGCAGCATCACCCTCCTAGGAAGAAGGGCTGCAGAGACACAGAGAATTTGAGGTTGGATGGCCCCTTGTGGGTAATGGGTCTAACCCCAGATAAGACAGCCAGGTGGTGTCAACATTTAAGATTCCAGATCTATTTATACCCTCAGTGAGAAGTTCAGTTCCAGTCCTCAGGCTTAGGAGGTAATAAAGAGGCCCCCGCCCCAGGCACCTTTGCTGTAGATAGACTAAAAGCTGAAAACCTGACATCGCCCCGCCGGGTTTTCTTTACTCTGAGAACCAGACTGATGATGGGACAGGCAACCCCCAACGCTGCTGGGGAGGTGACTGGAACACCCTGCCATGCTGGCAAGCTGGGGGGAGTTATAGATGTAGATCCAAGACGTGGCCAGACTGGTTTCAAGCCTGCTCATGAAGAACTGGTTCTATTTTTTTAACAACTGTCAACTTGGCCCCCTGAGCCTGGGTAGACTGGCTGGCCAGGCAGAGCTCGAGGAGATGTGTGGTAATTGGAGTCTCAGCACTCGCTCCATCCGTCAGCCCAGACCTCCTTGGAAGCACAGAGCTGGACTGGTGAGTTAGTAAGGCTCTTCACATCTTGCTGGAGACCGAGGCCAGCACTAATTTTTAGAATCAGCATTTGGGTGACACCCCAATCGGCTGCTCAGGGTGACCTGCGTGAGGCTAGGCAGAGGATGAATGTGAGGTGTGGGGGGGAAGGCTTTGAAATGGGCTGGGTCTGAAGTGGCAATAAATGTCAGTGCAACATTAAGAAATACACACCACAGGTACAGACCTGAATGCATATGGAATGTGTGTGTGGTGTGTGTATATGTCTGTGTGAGCTCACGCAGACATACCCAGCTTGATGAGCAAACAAAAAAGCCAAAAACTGAAAAAGGGGGCGGAAAAAAGCCCTTTCTATCCCTCTAACCATTAGAAAGAAAATAAAGTCCAAATTGCGTTCAGGGCTGCTGGGACAGAGGAAGAGAGAGGCAAGAATGGAAAAAACAGGCTATAAAGATGCCAGGGCTCCTTAAGCAGAAACATCTGTTGAAGTCATAAGACTAGGGGCCTGGTCAGGCTTCTAACAAACCCAGGAAGAGGAGAGTCTGTACGGGATCAGGAGTACCCTCATCTGCCCTGTGCAGGGCCCCTGGGACCAGCATACGTGCAGAGGAGATACCTTCTCCAGGGCTCAGCCAAGGCCTGGCTTCCAGCAGCAGAGAAAGGGAGAGGGAGGAAGAGACGTCCCCAGGTCAGGAGGGGCCTGTGGCAGTCAAGGAGGCGGGGATGTGATAGCAGTTTTCAGTGTGTATTTATTTAAAGCTTTAACTCACCGAGGCAGCCTGGTGAGCCACATGTCTCCACTCCTGTAGCTAAAGAAAAAAAAAG